TGGCCGCTCACGCTGGCTGCGGGCTACACACGGTAGCCCACGGCAACCCACTGCCACAGGGGCTGCAGCCTACGCCATCGCCGGCGACTCACAGCAGCCCAGCTCCAGGTTGAGCTGTTGTTCAGCATCTTAGCTGTGGAGGGCAGTGTCACTGGGCCTCATATGTGGGATCCGAACCAGAGCCCTCTGGCGTCCCAAGCCAGTTCTTAACCATCGCGCCACTCGGCCGGCCCTGGAGGACGTTACTTTACTGGCCCAAGTTGGCACCATCATTGCGCTCTTCCCTGGTGAGGCAGATCAGTCGCCGGCTTCTGGATGGCCGTTCACCGTGGCTGCTGGCCGCTCACGCTGGCTGCTGGCTACACACGGTAGCCCATGGCAACCCACTGCAGCGGTGGCTGCAGCCCACGCCGTCACCGGCAACTCAGGCGACTCACGGCATCCCAGCTCCAGGTTGAGCTGTTGTTCAGCATCTTAGCTGTAGAGGATAGTGTCACTGGGATCCGAACCGGGGCCCTCTGGCGTCCCAAGCCAGCTCTTAACCAACGCACCACTTGGCCAGTCCCTTGAAGAGCCATTTTTAAGAGTATCCCGCACCATAGCCATTCGCTTCTCTTTTTGGCACCAGTCCTTGGTCCTCCAGAGCCTTTCACTAGGCTTGTCACCCCAGGTGGCCACAGGAGACACTTAGCTTTTTGTCCCATTTCCAAAGACAAATTGTATTGCCATCAATTTTAGCCACAGTCTGACCAAATAACCAATTCTAGGTTCCCTCCATGTTTTCTGCACCAGTTTCCGTGTTAGGGTTTACAGTGGGTTGAACGGTAAACCCCCAAAAGATAAATCCACATCACAACCCTGAAACCTGTGAATGTGACCTGTTTAGAAAGGGGTCTTTGCAGATGTAATGAACTGAGGATCTGGAGATGAGATGATCCTGGATTATCTGGGCCCCAAATCCAATGACAAGTGCCCTTATTAGAGATGAGAGGAGAGAAACGGAGAGAAGAGGTTCCGTGAGGACAGAGCAGGGATGGGGCAATGCAGGAACCGGCGGAGGAAGGGGAGCGGAGCTGGCAGCCACAGAAGCTGGGAGACCGGCGGCCGTTCCCTCCCTCAGAGCTGCCAGACACTTGATTTCCCACTGGCCATCAATGACTGCAATTGATTGAAAGACATCAAATACATTAAAATTCATGAGGTCAGATTGACTTTTAAAAACTCCCTTTGGAAGTTGATAGAGCACCAACTCGTTACTCTGAAAACTGGTGGGTTCAGGGGGAGGGAATTAAGCATTTATTCTGCCTTTCCTGCAGGAACCGTATGTGAAGGCAACCAAAGAGTTGATGAAGCAAGTTCTTCCCTACAGAAGAAGTCCAAACAAATAAAGGCAGAAGTAAAGTTAGCATCAGAAAATCACCAATTTGCAATCCTGAATGAAACAATGGACCTGAGATTTGATCATTAACGGCAGTTAAAATGATCCTGTGAAAAATTGATGGGGAATTCTGTCATGAGGCTTCCAATACCCAAAGCCACTGGTCAATCTGAATATTGAAAGAGAGAGAGCGAGCCACAGAGTACGTGCCTCCCCACCCACGTGACGTGCTGGCAAGTTCCCTGCACCACCCAGGAAGGAACCGGGTCAACCATTGAACCTGAGTCTAATCAAGACTCTAGACCAGGGGTCAGCAAACTCTTGAGATGGAAGAGCCAATCCTGTCCCTCACAACAACTTAAAAATTATTCGAGAGCCATAAATGTTTTTACAAACAAGGAAAATTTAAAGTAATATTACAACAAGTTATAACAGTATTAATTATATCTTTATTAAAATAAGAAAAATTCACACACGTACATACCCAGATAGCCGCATGTGGCTCGCGAGCCACAGTTGGCCGACCCCTGATCTAGACTAACCACCGGTTATCAGAACACAGAGGAGAGAAGACGTTGATGACGCCATGGGGACACCATCAGTCAAATCCACGACGTGGCTACTCGTCTAGAGCACATGACCTGGTTTCTTTAACAACTAAATGGCCAGGAGGAGAAAAAGCTGTAGATAAGCATCGTGAATGAAGAGAGATTTAAGAGACCTTCACCCAAATGCAACCAAATGTTTGGATCCTGTTTTCACCAAATTAAATATATAATGACATTTATCAGCTAATCAGGAAAATATGGAACACTGACCAGATATTAGATATTAATGAATAACTGCTACTTTAAGATGCGATCGTGTTACTGTGGCGATGTATGGAAACACCAGTGTATTTACAGGTGAAATGACACGATGTCTGGCATTAGGTGGTATCTGTGTTCTCACAACCTATAGCTTCCTGTTTAAAATCTTTTTTGTGAAGTATGACATACAGGAAGATGTGTCAAGTACAAATGTCAGCTTAATGCAGTGTTACAGAGTAAGAACCCAGTAACCAGAGCCAGGTCAACAATCAGACTTTGAAAAGACCCCACAAGTTCTCAGCGAGTCTTTTCCCAGCCGTACCCTCCCCTGTCCCGCCAAACTAACGGCTACTTGACATCTATGGCCCACACTGCCTTACTTTTTTCTGTAGCCTTACCTCCTGAATGTACAACCATAACACTATAATTCGTGTTGCCTCTTTTTGAACTTTGTATAAGCAGGATCTCAGCGGAGAGTTTTAGTGGGTGGGCTGGCTCCCTTTCCCTTGATACTTTGTGATTCATTCGTGTGTCTGAATGTTCATTCATTGTCATTGCTGTAGGGACAGTATCCTTCCTGCGAAGACATCCTGGTTGTTTCCCCATTCCAGAGATGGCAGACACTGGGTCATTTCTAGTTTAAGCTGTTCTGCTTCAAGGCTGCTACGCACACTCACCCACGTGTGTAAGTGCAGACAGTTCTCCTGGATCGACCCCTGGGAGTGGACTTGCTGGATTCAGGCTATGGGAACCCTCAGATTTCCTGGAAAATGACACATTGTATTCCAAAGGAGTTCCATCAATGGAGTTCCGGCTGGCAGGTGAGATAGTGACCACCACTGCCCATTCTTGTCATCATTGGCACTTGGTCCGGGCAACCTTTTTGCTTTGTGGCTGCAGGTGGTTTCACATTGTGGTTTTCATTTAGATTTTCCTGATTACCTTTTTGTTAAACTAAGGGTTTGTCTTTTTGTCTTATGAAATTCTTTTTATATGCTGGTTGGGGGACCTGCACCAGCGTGCGACTTCATGTCTGTCGGCCCCAAACCCACACTTGGCCATCTGGCAAGCTTTCTAGTTCTTCTTGTGTCCATATTGATAAACTATTTCTCTAGGGATTTGTCCACTTAGTAAAATTTACAAATTTATTGACATGAAAGTGTTGACGATATTATTTTATCTTTTAAACACAGCTTCCGTAATGATCTTCTTTTGAATTCTAAATATTAGTTTTGTGTACTTTGTTTTCTTAATCAGAGGCTTGGCTTACCACTTTTACTAGTCTCTTCAATGAACCAACTGTTGGCTTTATCTTTTTTGGTATGTTTTCTACTTAATTTCTTCTTTCGTCATTATTCCATTTACTTTCTTTGGGTTAATTTTTGCTGTTTATTTCCCTTGATGTCTTGAGATGGGTTCTTACTTCTTCAATTCTTAACTTTACTACTTTTCTAATATATGCATTTAAGGCTATAAATTGCCCCCCAGACATGATTTTAACTGCATCCCACAATTTTGATATGTTGTATTTTTTCATCGTTCATTTAAAATATTTTAAAATTTGTATTGTGAGTTCCTCTTTGACCCATGAGACATTTAGAAATATATTTCCTTATCAAATATATGGGTTTTGTTCTAGTTATCTTTTTATTGTTGTTTTGTAGACTATTTTTCCTGTGACCCTATTTATGTACTATATGATTTACATTGCTTTGAAATGTGTTGAAATTGATGTATAATCTGGCATAGGGTCAATTTTTTGTAAATGTCCTGTGTCCTTGTAAAGAACGAATTCAACAGTTGTGGGTTCAGTGTTCTATGGATGTTCATTACATCATTTTCTTAATTAGCATTGGGGGAAACCATAGAAATAAAACTTCGGCAAGGAAAAGGGCAGAACCAAACGGGAGTGTTATTGGAGCATGACCGGGAAAAGTGGGGGTAGGGGGGAGTGGGGGGGTAGGAGGG